AGGAGTCAACCAAGCCGAGAGGGCACCCAGGGCCCCTCATGCCAACCCCAAGCTGCACACGTTCTCTTCGTGGAAGGCCCCGTCTCGGAGCACCACTAGGGTACGGGGTGGATTCTCTTCGGCCTCCATTTTATAACTTGGCAGCCATTTCCGACCTCTGCTCGTTCAGCCCACCCTGCGGACAATTAAGAGCGAAGCCCCTAGAAAGGCAAGCTTGGAAAAGTGGCCAGGAAGGGGTTTTCCTGCTTTGGGAAAACCAGCCCCTTGAACCCCGAGCCGAAGCCCAGCCTGGCTACGTTTTGCTCCACTACCAGGAGCGACATCTGAATGGTGCGAAGTTTCCAGAAGGATAATGATTCCTAACCTGTGAGGCCTTCTGAATGCCAACGGGTTTGATCTGGTGGCTGATTGAGTCTTTCCCTCGGACACCCAATTCCTCCGTTCTAATTGGTTTAGACTCTGCTAGCGTCACTTGAATTTCACCGCTTTTGAAACTACATCACGGAAGCTTAAAGCCAGGGAAGAAAGGGAAAACTAATTGCATGACGACAGATAAGGGCTACCTGCCCCTTTCTGGCCAAGGGCCGCCCTGAGCAGGTGTTTCTTCTCCCCACCCGCCCACCCCCACAACGGCCCCTTAAGATCCGGTGCGCCGAAATGCTCCTTTGCCCTCACTGGTGACACCCCAACTTATGAAAGCATGGTTTTTGATGAATTTCAGCCGAGTTTTGTTTATGAGTGGAGTTTTTAAAAATTGCCCTTGAATTTTTCTATTAGTTTTATTGTTTGACCAGCCATTAGAGCGGCTCTGAGTTACCCGCAGCGACTTACTAGGTAGAAGCAACCTGACTAACCCTGTCACCCAAATGGGGACACCGCAGGTCCCCATGCTGCTTAAGTCAAGTCAGAGGTGGCCCCGATCCTAGGGATGGTTTCATTTCAAAAGCTGCTAGGATGGCGCTCTTCCACGGAGTCTCTGAAAGTGGACGCATCCTGGGTGGGTTGCCATCATCTCATGGTGGAGCTGACGGCCATCGTTGGTTTGATCCTTTAGGGCCTCCTTAGTTGCACACCTGTTTTAAGTTTTTGTCAACCACCAGGAGCCTCTGGATTCTGGTGGCCTTTGAGTGAGAGAAACTAATGCGTCCATCCAGGAGGGTTCCAGGAATCGGGTGTCCTGGCCTGTCCATTTTCCTAAAGGGACTCGCAGGGCTCTGGCTCCCTAAGCAGAGGGGACCCCCCTCTCCCCCAAGGATCATCCTTGAGCCTTTGGAGAAACTACACTTCCCAGGAGAATGAGGTGGGGAAGGCGTGACATGCAATCTGGCTTCCCACTGGTCACAGAGGGGAAATGCCTCAAAGGGAACAAGCTGGACGTACTTATTCTCAGCGAGGCAATCCAAATTTTAAAACAACGGTGTACAGTCAACCTTTCCAAGCAAATCAAAAGTCAACGGGAGTGTAAGACAACTCAAACATATTAAAAACAAAAGCCCCAAACTAGCTTAAGAGGGCCCAACGGACATGCCTTGCTCAAATGAGCCATTTAATGGAATTTACTATGAATACGTTCAATTTTAGCACGCCTGCAATAAATCTGAAATTACTGAAGCCTCATTTGACATTCTTTCCCTTCCCGCCGGCTTCATGATGATACCACATTAGCTTTGCTGGCCAGGCCTCTCGGCGCAGCCACTGCTGCCCTCTGCTTCGCACGCTTGGAGCCTTTCCCAGATTTAACAGATGCCAGAAGTAGGAAGATCACCCTGGAGCAGCCCCAGGATCTCCAAAAAGGCTCCCGGTCACACGGCAGAACCGGCCCAAGGCAGAAGCCCCCCCCCCCCCCATGAATCAGGACCTCCGAGAACTGTCTGTGGCCGACCTGATCTGGCAGGCCGGGAGCAGGGAGGGAAAAACACTCCACTCCTGGGTTGTCTGTCTGTGTGTGTGTGTGTGTGTGTGTGTGTGTGTGTGTGTAGGCTGTTTCCGCCTTGATCTTTTATCTCTGTAAATACAACCTTTAGCAAGCAGGGCCCTGGCCAGTAGCACTGCCATGTCAGCAAGTTGCAGCAACCTCTGTTTTCCTGAACAAATAAAAAAGAAAAAGGAACCACTTTTCTGCCAAGCAAGCTCCTTTGTCGCTCTTTCCTCAGCTGGTGCAGATTCTGCACTGTTGACACCAGATCCCTTCCTGCCAGATCCTTTCCTGGCCACTTTCCAAGGGCCTTGGACTGATCTCAAGTTGCTTCGGCCCAGAAGATCGACTGGGATCCACTGCTGCGATTCTCAGCAGCAGAGATAGATTTCTTGGTGGATTGATTCAATTTACAGGCAGGCTTTCGACGGAAACCAGCACTCAAGCATTCAAGTTGGAGACAGCAGCAAATAAAAGACACACAGCGGAGGCACATACCGATCCTAAATTACACAGCCGAAATAAAGAAAACGTGGCACCAGCAGCAGCCACGCAGCTCTGCATGCGAGGAGGGCAGCCTTTCCTCCTGTTCTGGGAGCCGTAATTAATTCCTGTGCTCAACATTCTTTGACTTTTGCACAAAGTGCTCCACGGTGGATCTTGGAATTCAGTCGAAAAATAGGTCAAAACTCGACCTCCAGATCTTAATGGTCGACAAGGGTGCAAACTGGGAGCTCCGGTATAGTTCTGGGCAGTAGCAAAACATTGGGGTTCATAGTCAACCTAGTTTTGCATACCTTGCGTTGTGCAGAGCCAGCATCGTCTTAGCTCATGCTGCCTTTGTGCTCCGCCCAGGAAGTGTCACCCGGGGTCAGAAGAGCCGGCGAAACAGGCAACTAAGAGCAGGTAAACCGTCCGAAGGAACGTCCGAAGGTTCTGCATGCCACCCTGACGTCATCTGGCAGGGACAGGGCTGTATTCCGTAGTCTGGGCCCTTGGCGTCGGCCCCACAGCCAGTTGCCAAGGGAATTCTTCCCCAAGAAAATATTTTGTGCAGGAGCCAAAAACAACCGTCCATGGGCTCAGGGCAGCGAGAGGAGGAACATTCGCCCCAAACACACAAGCAGGCAAACCCTTTTCTGCAGCTCCGGTTTATAAACAGCTAATTACGACAACAACCGACTGAACTAACCACCCTCTAATCAGCTTGCAAATCGTTTGTTTTCTGAAGCGATGCCACGATGTTGTGCAGCACTGTTCCCTTCCACAAGGAAATGTGCAATTGTTTCAAAATACTTTCAGAAATCCGCCTATTGATTTGCTATTGGGAAACAGTCGTAGAGGCCCTGCGCCCAGAACGGTATAAATTAAATGTTTGTACCAGAAAGAGAACAGCCGGTGAGATGGGAAGCGGAAGGGAATAAAATGCACATGTGTGTTGCCTCACAAGCGTGACTGCAGGTGTTTCCTCTGAAGTAAACCTCAGAGTGGCCCAGAGTGGGAGGTGAATAACTAAGAGAAGAGCCTTACTCACCCTCCCTCCCGCCCCCCCGCCCCCCCCTCCGATGAGAAGGAAGGATCCCTCTTGGGAGAGAGCCAGTGACACAGCCTCACAGAGGGCTCTAAGGCCTCCCCTTGGAGGGAGGCAGCCGGCCGGCCTTGGAAGAACAAAAGACTCCCACGGCATCCCACACCACGGAAGCAGCAGCGAAGGGCTGCAAGGCTGAAGGCCTGGGGAGCCAACTCTTACGCGCACAGGGCGAAGGAGAAGCCAGGAGAGGCGGGCAGGCGAGGGGTTTGCATCCCACACAGCTTCCCATAGGGAAAGAGGACCTCCTTCCTTCCCCTGTTCAAAGCCAAGGCGCCTCTTATTGCCAGGTTCTTTCCACCCACCCCGTGGGAAAAGGGATCGGCTGCATTCAAACCGCCCCCCCCCAGCCCCCAAATGCACAAGCGCTTGCAAAAGGCTGGCAGCAACCGTGCAGCTTCAGGCCCCCTGGAGCTCCATGCGCCAGCTTCAAGCGGGCTCCGACATGGGGGAAAGCAGCCGCCGCACGTTGCCTCGCCAGCAATGATGCCATCTCTGCTGTGGCTTCCTGCAGTCGGGGCCTTTGCCCGCTGGCCATGAAAGCCCCCCCACCCCTGCACCCAGGAGCCCTCTTGCCCCTTGAGTGCAGCCTGGCACTCACCAGGGAGCGCCCATCGCCCCCACGCAGGGCCCTCCTCCTCCTCCTCCTCCTCCTCTCCAATCTGCACCCAACCCCTGCAGGCCGCCTGCCGCCGTTAACCTGGCTCTGGCTCTGGCTCCTGCCTTGGCACAGCCGCACCCTGCCTCCTTCCCCCGAGCTGCACCCAGAGGGCCGCGCCAAGCTCCTCCCGGGGCCCTTCTGCAGGCCCGCCGGCGCCCCTTCCCCTTCCACCTGCCCGGCCTGGGTGGGCACCGCTCCGTGCTCCCCCTCCCCGCCCTCTGCACGCGTCCCACCCGCATCCCCCACCGGCACAGGGGCATCGTCTCCTTGCAAACGCCGCCCGCAGTTCTTCCCGGCGGGGTCCCCTTCTCTGCCCAGCTGGACGCCATGGCTCCCCGAGGAAAGGCCGCTGCGCTGCCCCTTTGCGGAGGCGGCCAGATCCGCTTCCGCGGCCGGAGCTTCTGCCCGCCAGACGGAGCCTCCTTCCGCCCCCGCCCGGGCTCTGCGAGCGGCCCCTGCCCGGCAGCCCCTGGCGCGTGCGGGGAGAGCCGGCTCCCGGGGGCAACGCGGGCACCGGAGCGGCTGGACTACAGCACCCATCGGCCTGGGCCCGGGGGCGGCGAGGACCAGCCCGCGCCAGGCGGACTCCTGGGCCGGGTCGGGGAGGCTGCGGAGGGAGGGCTCGGGCCAGGTGGGCCGGGGAGGCGGATGGGATTTGTAGTCCAGAGCCCCGTTGCGGGCCGGGAGGCCCTCGGGGCGGAGGGGCAGGTGACCCCAGGCCGGCGAGGGACCCCGCGGGAGCCCCAGTCTCGCCCGTTCCAAGAGCCCCAGGCCGGCTGCGCACTATGGGAGTTGTTGCGCGGGCGGGCCAAGAGCCGCCCCCGGCGCCCCCTCACCTGGCCCTCCGCTGCCGCCCAGCAGCCGCCGCCGCCGCCGCCGCCGCCTCCTCCTCCTCGCGCGCAGAGCCCGCACAGCCGCCGCCGCCGCCTCGCACGGACTGGCCGGCACGCGCGAGGACCGGCCGCCAGGGGGCGGGGGGTGGGGCCGGCACGCGAAAGCCCCGCCCACGGCCCGCCTTCCTCCGACCGCGCCCGCGGGACGGCAGGCTAGGAAGGCCAATCGGCGCCAGGCGCGCCTCTCCGGGCGCCCAATCCCGGCTGCGAAAGGGGTGGGGTCCGACCAATCGAGCTGGCGGATTGGCTGCCGCGCGGGCGATGGTTTCTCTCACGGGCCTTTTCCTCTGTCGCGCAGGCGCAGCGACGCTCCTCGGCCGGCGAGGCACCTGCTGTTTGTGGACAACCCGCGCCGGCGGTTCTCAAGTGCTGTTGGGCGCCGGACCTGGGTTGGAGCTCCGCGAGATTCTCCAGCCGCCGTAAAAGTGGCCCAGGTTCGAAATCACTGCCCTGGAGGGACCGCCTAACCTTCCTACTGCAGCCCCCCATTATCCCCAGCCCTGGGCTGCTCTGGCAGGGGATGATGGGCTTTGTGTCCCTGCAAATCTGGACGAGAGCCGGTCCAGAAGAAAGATTGAATCAAGAAACCCTGTCCATTGCGTAATCCACAAACGCACCGTATTTATTCAAAGAACCCAGGTTGCCTGCCATTTGTGAACACACAGACACGCCCCAAAAAACCAAAACGTTGGCCTGGAAAGTCCAGCTGGACAAAGAGCCCAAAACTCCCCAAGCAAATGTCTTCCAAGACGTCCCTCCCAAGATTTCTTTTTGATTCAGAGTCTTAAAAGACCAAGAATCATTTGGGTTCATTTTCAGGGAAAGTGTGATCAAACATAAAAGCGAGCTTGATTACCTATTCACCTGCGAGAAACCTGCAAAATAGCATCTTCTTTATCCAAAGAAAATGGATGAGGAAGCACAGGTGTGTGTTTTCCTCACGGCGTTTGCTTTTTGACCAGAAAGGGGTGCTGCAGAATGGGAGGAAGAAAAAACTACCTGCAGGAGCATCTGGGAGACATTTTTCCAGCGGAAAATCACTTCTGAATAATAGGACTACAGGTATGTGCCAAGCAAAGGTGACCAGAGAAAGCCGTCACACCCCCATGAGAGTCCCTTCAGCTACCCATGGAAAGGCCTCGTGGTTACCAAGGGATGAAGCCTGGATTTTCTGAGGATGCCTACGGAAGCCGTGCATTTTCACTTATTTTTGCACGACACATGGAGAGAAAACCTGGCCAATCACAACCTGTTGCTCTCCAGACCGTTTGGACTTCAGATCCACTTTCTCTTGAGAGCAGGCAACAGAATTTCATTTTTAATGTGGGCCAGTGTGCTCGCAGTAAAAAAATGGCAAGAATGTTTATCTACCTTATGCTTCCCCTGAGCCCAGCAAACATGACTGACTACGCTAAAATCAGGACTCTTTGAACTGCAACAAGTTCAGAAGACTGTTGACCAAAGCATAATTATTTATTCTCTGCACACCAAAGGTGAAACTCCTCAGATACAAGGCAGCCTGAAGAAGCACTCGGTGAAAATCCAAACCACTTTTAGTTGGTATTTGAGGATCTAACATAACACACAATCTTACCTGGCTAGCATCCTCCTGGGCAGCCAACAAAGGCTCCACATTTAAAATGCCACCTGTATTTTAGGCTCCCATCTCACCTTTCCTAGCAGGTGACGCCGCCTTCTCGGCTGCCGGCTTCTGCTTTTCAAAGGTCTTCTTCACGTCGGCAACTTTCAGGGGCTTTTCCTCCTCTTGTTGCGTCGTTCTCTTTCTCTGCTGCGGTGGCAAAACAGGCTTGTCTCCCCGGGCTGTTTCTCCCGAAGCTTGGCAGCCTTCGCTGGAAGCGCGAGAAGGACACCGCAGCATCACAACCGTGGTTGGGGAAGACTTGGAGATTCCCAGAGGTCGGCCTTCCGTTTCAGGGCTCTGCAAACTCTCCACCGGACTGCAGGGATCAAATCCCAGTTGGCCGCAGAGCCCCTCATCTTCCTTGTTCTCAAGGGAGGGGCTGGAGGTCCACTTGGAGGGTTTCCTAGTCTGGGGAGAAACCAAATCGAGGCTGAGAACGGTGGACCTCCTGACCTCCAGGCCCTTTTTGTCCACCTTGACGCTCTCAGGCTCCTCTAGCTTCCGTCCTTCACCTAGGTGACAGCCATTGGGGGCTCTTGCAGGCCAAGGGAGACCATCCCCGCTTTCCTCAATGACCATTGCTGGCTCGCCGGAGGTTTGTTCTTCCGCCTCTTGGCTCCTTCGCCCCGGGGAAATCTCCGTCTCTCCAGTCTCCTTCCCTGCAGAAAAATCCAGCCAATTCAGGATCCCAGCCTTGCTTTCCTCTGCAGGGGAATTCAGCACCAGCCTGTTGACTTGCCTGCTTTCCGCACAGCCGCTGCTCTCTGAATCTGACCGGGATATCTGCCTCCTCGGGGGTCCCCGGGGAGCATCGATCATCTCTCTGCTCCCATCTGCAGCTTCTCCCTCCCAGCTTTGCTGGCAGCCAAAGTTATACATTTGAACCCAAGGCCAACTGCGGTCCGTCATTTCCCTTTTCCTTTCAGAGGCCACCGGAGAGTCAGAGGGGTGGAACTCTCCCTGGCTGGTGACGATGCTAAGTTCGGCTTCTTCCAGCCTGTACAAAAGAGCATTCACCTTCCTGCCTTCTTCCGAGCATTGCTTTGGGAACACCTGCATCGCGCCCGGCCCCTCTGGGCCCCTTCCGCACACCTGCGCACCTGTTCCGCTCTCCTCCAGGCTTCGGTTCAATTGCATTTCTCTCGTGGACACCTGGAAGCCGTCCGCTGTGCCCCTTGCCCAGGGGATCTCGCCAGCCTCCTGCTCCGCCATCGGAGCCCAAGCGTCACGGGACATCTTAGAGGTCTTTCGGGGGTGCGGGGGCTGCTGGCTTTGAGTCCCGCTGCCGCCCTCCGGCAAGTGGGGCCGTTCTGCAGCTTCCATGCTCGGCAGGGGCTGGAACCCCCAGGCCCAGTTCCTGTGCAGAGGAAACCCGAGCAAGATCTGTTCCCCGTTGCCGGTCCGTCAACTTTGCATTTTATAAGAGGCCTGAGGGGAAGACATGCAGGTTTTTAAAAGCCTGCTATGGCTAAAGAAGAAGGATTAGCCTGACCAAAACCATTGCATCCCACAGTGGGACCAGAAGCAAGTGCTTTAAAAGGAAAGGTATGAGAGATTTTCCCCACCTGAGCAAGCAGAAGCAGCCACCTCCAACGTCTCGGCTGCCGAGCGTCCGTGCTGCAGATTTGAAAGCTCTCTGCCGTTTTCTCTTTCGGAAGAAAAAAGCAGCTTTTCCTGGTGACTCCCAGCAACCTGCCTTTTTGGGCCCCAACCGTGACGCTTCACGTTCTTCTTTTGCATTCATTTATGGTCAAGAGGCTCGGCTCATCCCCTCCTTCAGAGACCAAAAGCAGACGGGCACACCTTCGCTGGGAAGGTCTCTCTGCCCTGTCCTGCCCTGCCTCCTCCGGGATGCTCGGTCTGGCTCCCGACTGGCTTGAGGGAAAGCTAGAAGAGGCTTTGGCCAGCAAGCGGAGGGAATGCCAATTCTGGCTGCAGTGCTGGGATATGTAACTGTGGGAAGGGTGGCTGTGACACGCCAGGCACCCTGGAAGTAAACAGAGCCGCCTTGTGAATCTCCGTCCATCTCTCTCAGGCACTCGGCTCCTCTTGGGGCTGGGCAGTCCCTGCTAATAATAAACAAACTCCTGCAAATCTCCCTCGCCTGAAGAGGGTTTCGAGTAAGGATCTAGGTTTATAGGCAGCCAGAGGTTTGGAGGAGGACCGGACCATTTCAGTTAAACAGAGAGCACCCCTGTCCATCCCTGTCCAGCTCCCATCTCACAGCAGGCTAGCCAGATGGGGACGGCCGTCGCTCTTTGCCTTTTATGGCTTGCTAGGTGTGGGGCTCTTTCTTGACACCCTTCAGAGGCTGCGCTTGGCCTCCCAGCCCGCTGTGCCAAGGTCTCACACCAGCCTCTGGGGAGGGGAGGGGTCCACCTTCTGCCTTGGCCATCCCCATCTGGGCCAGCTCCCCGGTTCTGCTTTTATGGTAACAAGCCGGACTGGCCAGTAAAGGTGGAAGAGCTGCCCCGGGGTCTGATCCCGCATCCCAGCAATCCCCCCTCCCCAGGAGAAAAGGGCGGCGTTTAGACCTTGCCCAAGGATGGAGGAGAGATTTTAGGAAGCAAAAGAGGAAGAAAAAAATCCAGCTGTTTCTCTCTCCCCCCCCCCTCCCCCTCTCCTTCTGCTGTGCTGCTTAGCCTGGATCCGTGTCCTGAAACCTCCCTCAACAGCAGAGAGGTTGCCCGACGTTGGTCTGGTGGGTGGAGAACCTCTCAGCCCGTCTCTGGAGGCTAAATCCCATCCCACAGACGCCAAATACAGTTCGCAGAAAAGGCCGTGGGATATCCTTAGCAGGAGTTGTGTGCTTTTTCTGGGGCTGCGAGACTTGGGGGGGGGGGGGGGGGGGGGGGGGGCGCCTCCAGATGAATCCCCCACCCCCTCAGCAGGAGCCCCGATCCTAGGAACTTCTCAGCAGAAGATCGGCCAATGGTGGGATTTCCTTTAACGGCTGATTGTTGTCTGCTTTACCATAGCAACCTTCATAACAGGATATAAACATCTGATGTCCTTGCCTTCCACACAAAAAACCGCACAGCTGGCCAAAAGCTGAGGCCGGCTCCGTGTTAGGATGTGTTCTTGTAGCAGCTAACGGGAAAATGTGTTTCTCCATCCACAGGAGGAGGAAAAAAACAAGCCAGTTTTACGCAGAAGCTCAGCCATCTTCGGTCTAGGCTGCTTTGGGAAAAAGGGGTCAAAAGCGCTCTTGTGGTTTTCTTGTTCTCTCGCTGACAGGCGGAAGGGGTACAAGAGGCTTCTTCCTCAGACTTCCTTCCGCTAAGGGCCACGGATTCACTTCCACACCGATGGAGGGAGTCAGAGGAGCAATTTCTCAAAGGAACGGAAACTAGAGTCCT